GAACTCTTTCTACTAACTTCAGCAAGTCTCGCATCAACAGCACGCAGTTTTGCCTCAACTTCGAGAGACTTTTCTTCAACACTTCTAACCAATGCATTTGCCTCAGTCAACTTTGAGTCAGCTGTAAATTTGATCTCTGCATTTTCAGCGCGTAGTTCCCGCAGAGCCTTCTCCAGCTGCATCAGTTTTAAGATTGTCATAAAGCTTATATGTGCTATAAAAAATGCTACTGCCCATAAAGTATCTCAATTAGAGAGCAAAAAACTATATACAATTCAGAACTATGTATTAAGGAAATGATATGCGTGCACGAATCTGCCTGGAATGTTTGGTAAAAAGGTAACTGTAAAAATCAAAAAGGAACAGTATAGAACTTTTGAAAGATGGATTCTTACATCAAGTGCACATTGCTTCTCAATCCCCAGAGCTTTCCTCAGCCCTTCCTCCCGTTTCTCAACATCAGCTATAGCAATCAGATGTGCATTACGTTCCCGCTTGAGGCACTCATTTGCCTCTTCAAACTCCTGTTGAAGCTCTTCATATTTGGAACTCCACTCCTTTTGCTCTATCAGAAGAAGACCCATGTTGTGTTGGTATTCAAAAAGCTGTTTAGCAAAACAAAAGTCATGGTCAACCAATTGCAGGAGAAACTAAGCCATAACATTAAATTGAATACCAAGTAACGAAATTCTTAAAGATCCTTCAACTATAAAAAAATGTCAAGTGCTTTTGCAATCATGAGACGCAAATCTTGAAAGAGTAAACATGAGAAATTCCAAAAGCAACAAAGAGTTAATAGAGGAAACCATGTCTACAATGCCATGAGCTGTAAAACGTAAAGACATATTCAATAGATCCAACTATAAACAAAAATCAGGTGAGACCAAAATAAAAACAGCAAAACCCAACAGAATTAACGAACCAAAGGTCAGAGATTACAAAAAAAAAAACCCACCTCTTTTTCAAGCTCTGAAACTTTGTCAGACAATCTTCTTGAATCATCGTACTGGATCTCACTGACCCGACCCGAAACTGGGGTCACCATGTCTAAACCCTTACCATTCGAATCTGGATTTGTCGCTTTCGTTGGTGTAGACCAACGTTGCCACACCTTCAGAGGCGTGGACATCTTTGGAAATCTCTCTGAGT